ATAATATAATGAAAATTATCATGCATGTTTACATTTTGATGACGTTTTCTTATGCATGGTCATAGTGGATGATTTTCCATGTAGGTGCATCCTTGCATTTTAAGAGAAATAAGTTAGTGGGGGCTAGCGATAAACATGTTGTAGAGCATAGGCTTCAGGACACCCTCTTAGAGCATCTCTAGCCTATAATGTCGACCCACAAAATTTGTTTACAGTTCGCTAAAAAACGATTTATGCCGTTTTACGGGTCGGCTATGCGGGATCTGCTTGGCCGCAGCCTGCGTCTGCCCGCAAACCAAAACCTTCGATTAGCGAATTTGACAGCGAGTCCGACAATTGAGTGCAAATTCGAAGAATAAAACATTGTTCACGTGCGAATAAAAGCATAGTTTTGTATGACAGATGCAAAAGGACTTCATGCAAAAGCGACGATCACGTCCATCATCATCTTGGTTGCTTTTCACCCGTGGTCATGATCTTCACTCCGCACCACCGCCATCAATTCCATCACCGACTCCGAATCCATCACCGACACTTCTTCCAACTCTGGTACCGAAAGCATCGCCGGGCGCACTGAATGTGAAAGCATCGCCGGCACCGAAACACCCACGGGCCGCTGCTAGCATTCTCCTCTTCAAGATGTCTCTCCTTGACATATCAAACCATTCTTTGGTGATGTCGTCCATGCCATAACTGTTCAATGTCATGATCCTGTTCTCTTCGGCAAGAAGCTTGGCCATGGCTTTGTTCTCAGCGGCATTGTCTCTTCTCTCCTCAATGGCCGCCTTGCGCAACCCCTTGTCCTTGAGCAATTACCACTTCTCTTGCTTCTCTCGCGCCTTCTTCTCGGCCAACTCTTTCTTTGCCTCCAATGTCTTCTCCAACATCAACACATTTGATTGCACCATGTATCTATCTTGTCCTGCAAGCTCGATGCATCGTGTTCCCTCTTGATCTTCTCCTTTGTCTTCTTGTCTCCATCGGGCTTGTTCAAGTTTCGTGGGCCATCATCATCTTCATCTTCATCCATGTTCGTAAGTGAACCTCTCTTCGGTGGGGATTCTCTGTCAATCAACTTCCACTTGTCACACCCTTTGAGCAGTTCCTAGCAATGCTCTAGTTTAAATTTTTTGCCTTCGGAAGCTTCCATGCCTTTGTATCTTTGTTGGGCAATTTTCTCCTACACAATTAAAACAATGTCAAATGATGCAGTCTCTTCAAATGGTACAAATGATTTGCACAACGTGGGACATGAAAACGAACTCACATAGTCAGATTCCACGGTTAGACTTGGAGGTGCATTGCAAACTTGTTCCAAGCAAGCAGCCCAACGGCTACAAATCGGCTTGATCACATCCCAACAACCTTGGAGTGACCCAAAGGTGCGTGGAGTCCTATTGGGATACTTTCCCATCATACGGAAGTACTGATCTTCGATCCTTTCCCAATACCTCTTGGTGGTTTGAGATGTACCGGTGCAAGCATCAAGAGACACCGCACTCCAAGCCGTGATCAATATTTGGTCTTCTAACATCGTGCAGCTCTTCGATCTCGCACCTTTTTTTGCTTGCGCTTTCTCATACACCCCCTCGTCTATCTCCTCAACTTCATCTTCACCACCGTGATCATCCACGCCACCCTCCATTTCATTGTAATCGAAATCAGCGAACGGGGCTTGATCGACGTCCACGGTGTTGGAGTCCAACAAGTTGACGAACTCGGCAGTGGCATCGTTTGAACCACCGCTATAGTAAGTGACATCAAGTCACGAGATACCACATTGGCGAAAAGCGAATAAAGTAGAAGAAATCGAGGAAGCATACCTTCTGGCCATTTCATCAAACACCTCGCCTGCGGTGGAAGCAGCGCCGTTAAACGGCATCGTCGGGTTACCTCTTGCCGGGGCGGAGGGAGAGGATGAAGGTGCCGGCCTTTTCGTAGGAATATTCTTATGCTTCATGCCCGAAACCTTCCCCATCTTCTCTGGCGGCAGCCGGGCAGATCACGCAGCGGCAGCGGCGCCGGGTGCACGTGCCTTCCCGACGGGGCCAGTCGGATTTGCGCCCTGCACGACCACATTGCCCTGCCGCTTGCGAGCAGGCGCGGTGATGCCTTGAGTGACGACGGGGGCGACATGGCCGGTGACGAGATCTGCCGGAGGGGATTGCACGTGCTCGACATCCATGATGACAGGGGACGCTAGGAGGCTTCCATGGCGGCGAAGAATGGCCAGGGAAAAGGGGCCGGAGCAGGTGGAGGCCGAGAGATGGTGGCAAACGGGGTGGGAAGCACGAACGGCCACGCGGAAATTTTCCTTGCGCCAAATCTCGCTGCGGATAGGGGGTGAGCTCGGGTCGGCCTCCCACCCCGTGAATCTAAAGGTTGATGGCGAACTTTTGCCGCGCCCCGCAAAAAATTTTATGGGTCCGACGCGTTTGCGGGGTTTGATCGGGTAGCATTTTTAGCGTGGACCCGGATTTTGGCGGTTATTTTTTGGGTCGGGGCATTATACAGGGTCTGCTAGAGATGCTCTTATCTAGCCACTCATTTTTGCATCGCGATTCGTGCAAGTACTTTTGTCTTTTTTGTTTCTCCCATATAGAACAACATATGAACTTCAAACTTGGCAGCTCAACCAAACATTCTAACTAGAATGTGAGAAAAAACTTCCGGAATTTTTCGTGCAACTTAAATACTAAAAGGTACATTTTTTAATAAAAAATCCCATTTCATATATTTATGTTGAACCCAAAAAATCTGAAAGTTTTTTCCCACATTCTAGTTAGAATGTTTTGGTGTCTTGGAAAGTTTGAAGTTCATGTGTTTTTTTTAAGAAACAAAAAAAAATTTGGTGTAGTAAGTTAGTTGTCTAGCACGGATCTTAAAACAATGTTGGAGGGTAAGGATAAGGGGTGTCCGTAGTACGCTACTTGAAAAAGACGTAGGCTTCCTTTTCTTGCGGCAGAACACTTTCTCTGTTGCTCATGTCCTCCACTTCGTCCATCCACCATGCTCCATGTTGGTTAATTTTCTCGAGCAGATATCTAGGGTTGTGAGGAAGAACAAAAAGAGCTCTACAATTTGTTTTCATATGGATATGTGAGATATTTTTCCCGTTTCTATATTAGATGTTTCCAGCACTTGCTTTGATGTTGATATGCTTCTACCCCATGTTACATGATAATTCTTGATTTGTTTTGAAGTGAAAAAAGGTCAACATGACAACTAATTTTCAGGAATATTATGTACTCCCTCTGTAAAGAAATATAAGAGTGTTGCATTTCAACACTATTATATTTCTTTACAGAGGGAGTATGCACTACAGCAAGGAGCAAATGTAAAGAAGTCAATATTCAAGAGTGAGTATGAATCTAAACTGATGCTGTTGGTGGTTACATTGAGGCATACATACATGATGTATGTTTATTACATTTGGGATTGTTCTTTTGTATTTCATTTGCCAGGATGATATCAATTTCTTCTGAGTTAGGAAGGCATAGTTTCATATATATTTATTTCATTTGGCAGGTTCACATCAATTTCTTCCGGGTTACAGGAAAGCATACTTGCATTTGCTCACTCCAATCCATCTTAATTATCACTGATTTTGTTCAAAGTTATAATAAATGAGCGACAATTAATATGGACTGGAGGGAGTATTTCATTTGCCGGGCTAACATCAATTTCTTTGGAGTTACAGGAAAGCATAGTTGCATATGTATTTCATTTGCCAGGATCACATCAATTTCTTCCGAGTTACAGGAAAACTTAGTTGTATATGTGCAGTGACTAATTAGGGAATTTATCGATCAGTGGCTTGATTACCTTCGTTATCTTCTCATGACAGCAGGTTCAACTTTTTTCCTCTTGTCAGCTGGTGCTCATTGAGGAGCCATGGAACCATATTAATATGGCATCTTAAATATTTTGCTCGCTTGTTTGTCTTAGTTATTAGTCCAGGATGATTTGTGTCATATTCCAGTCGTAGGTGGCCTACCTATTAGTTAAATCTGCCTTGTTTTGTGGTACACTTAAGATGGAGCACTTGATTTTGTTTGCGACAGTGACCTTCCAAAATAGAAAAATATGAGGTGCATCACTTTTTTTTGTACTATTTCTAGCATTTTTCTATTTCTACAGATCCTATATTGTTAGGTAAAACCATGGGTACAGCTTGCAGTGGTATAATCCTTGTCATCCCTCGTGTAAAGAGAAGCAGAGTCCCCTTTTTTGCTGTAGTGTATGCCTTCACTAATTATTTATAGTGCAATAGGAATATCCCAATAAGTATTTGAAATAAGAGAAAATAGTTGTATGGTTTTTTAGAATTACATTATTGATGTTTTTTTATTGGTTCAAATAATAAGCTTGTTCTTCTTCTTCTTCCTGCATTTATGGTCCTTCTGAGCCATCATTCAGAAAGGGTCAACTCATGGGGGCTAATAATGATGTCTTCGGTATAACTGACTCCAACCATTTAAGAAGATCTTTACCTACATTTAAGAAGATCTTGGGTATAACTGGATAGGTGCTTGGGGAAAAATGAAACTACCTTGCTCATGTTGAAATTATAGCCATACTTTGTTTATCTTCATATGATTTGTTGGGTTTATCTTATAGGCTAGCTACACTTATTTTGTCTTTCATTGAATGCCGCAAGAACTGTTGGCTAGACTAAGTACTCCCTCCGTCCCACCAGTGGCGAATCTAGGACGTAATTGCAGGGCAGGCTCAACTTCAAGGATACTAATTTTTTGGTGTTGGAAGCCATTTTATGCGCGCACCTAACTACTAGTGTGCTGATCATTGGTGGTGTTTTTTTGTGTGGCAAATTTTGAGGGTAGGCTAGAGCCTATTGAAGCCTGTTGAGTAGAATCGCCACTGCGTCCCACAATATAAAAGCTTTTTTTTTATACTAGTGTGGTGTAAAAACGCTCTTATATTATGGAACGGAGGGAGTAATATATATGGATAGATAGTTTGTGTGTGTTTGTATTTACCTCTTGTCCTTGAGAAGCTCGTGGAGCATCCTGGTGAGGGCGCCTTCATCCTTGTTGTCCACGCTATCTAGAGGTTCCTCTATCTTCATGCCTTGGGCATTATCTGCCTTCGGCTTCACAATCTGCAGAAGCACGCGCTTCAGCAAACCCTCGAAATCCTTTGTGCCGCCGAACGCCTGAGACACAGACACTTGCGCTTGGTGTGGGAACTCCTCCTCCAGCTTCCGGCACACCTCTATCGCCAGTGTAGTCTTCCCGAGCCCGCCAAATCCCACGATGGATAACACCTTGAGATTCCCACCAACTGCCTTCACCATGTTGGTCAGTTTATCAGCCTGCGCCGTGATGCCGACGAGATGGTCGGGGTCGTTTGCTGCCGGCAGGCCGAGCGCATGGCGGGGCACGGGCGTGGGAGCGGCTAAAGAAGAAGTAGTGCATCGCAGTAGCGCCTCACGGCTGACGCCGTAACGCGCGTGGCGCTCGCTGATGACGACTGCACGAGCGCGGAGCTCCTGGATCTCACGGGCCAGCCGGCGGCGAGGGAAGAGCGTCGCGAGGACACGCTTGGACCAGACGAGGAAGCGGTCTCTTGGCCGGCACCGGATGCGGAAGATGTAGAGGTGTACGCAGTCCTCGGCGTCGTAGGCGAGCTCGCGCACCTGCTTCATCCACACCCGGATGAAGTGGTCCACGGCGCCCTCTTCTGCTTCGGACAGCATACGGAGGATGGCTTTCATGGTTTCCAGCTCGTCGCTGAGCTCAGCCACCTGGGCACTCACGCCGCGGAGCTGCCGGTACTCCTTACCCACCAGCTGCCCGACGATGGACACAAGCTGGGCGGTCGTTCCTTCCATTCTCCCGCTCTCTTGATTATCGACTCTGTGGGGAGGGTGGATGGCTGAATCGGAGATGCAGAGTTTTGTGCTACACTTTGCAGATGCTTTATCAAGACTAGAAGATAGAAAAGAAAAAAGACGAGTCCTTGGCTGACAGAGCATTAGAGCAACTCCAACGGGGAGACCCATTTCGTCCGCTGGCGTTCGTTTGGATCAGCGCGGACACAAAAGTCGGCCCAATGCGCCGACTCAAACGGACGCGCGTTCGCTTGACGGCTTGCGGACCCATTCCCGGCCCATTTTTGAGCCGGATTTGCGTTGGCGCGGACCCGAGGCGGACGCGCGCGCCTTCTCCTCCCCCGGGCCCGCTGGTCGGTGGCAGCCTCCACCATTTCCCTTCAATCCCCCCAAAAATCCTCCCGCCCGTGCGCGCTCCCGGCCCACCCACGCCATGGACGACGACCTCGACGCCACCGGCCTCGCCTCCCTCGCCTCGTCCCGGCATGCCGGCCGCCCCCTCCGGCAAAGGCAAGCCTCGCGCCCCCCGCAAGCCGAAGAAGGTGCTGACGCCGAACATCGGGCAAAGGAATCGGCCAAGAGGAAGGACCAGGGGCACACGGCGGGCGCGAGGGATTAGGGATGAAAATGGAGTGGAAACTTTTCGTTTTTTCGGAGGAAAAATAGAAATGAAGAGGAAATATCAAAATGGAAATGGAATTTTGCAAAACGGAAGTGGAAATGCAATTTTTTATGCGAAAACGAAAACAAAAACGAAACGGTGTTTTCTGGTGTAACATGCATGGAAACGGAACTTTCCATTTCTGTGAATATGAAATTTCTGTTTTTACTATAAACTTATGGCTGCTTTGTAACCCAACCACCAAAGAAAACACAATGACACAATTAGTAGAATGGATCTTAGGTCCAACTTCTACTACAAAACATGTAATCAGCTTGACTCTATACGCAATTGTCCATTACTACTACAATACTATGCTAAGCTGCTAATATAATAATATTATCTTATAATCATGTTAACAACTCATTAAATTTATTTGTTTTTGTGTGTATTTCTCTATGATTCAAGGTGTTTTTAAGTTTCGATCAACGCCTTCCATTCTCCCGCTCTCTTGATTATCGACCCTGTGAGGAGGGTGGATGGCTGGGTCGGAGATGCAGAGTTTTGTGCTACTCTTCGCGATTTGCAGATGCTTTATCAAGACTGAGAAGATAGAAAAGAAAGAAAAGACGAGTCCTTGGCTGACAGAGCATTAGAGCAACTCCAATGGGGCGCCTCATTTTGTCCGCTGGCGTCCGTTTGGATCGACGCGGACACAAAAGTCGGCCCAACGCGCCGACCCAAACGAACGCGCGTCCGTTTGGCGTCCACTTGACGACCCATTCCCGTCCCATTTTTGAGCGGATTTGCATCGGCGCGGACACGAGGTCGACGTGCGCGCGCCTTCTCCTTCCTCGGGCCCGCTAGTCGGTGGCAGCCGCCACCATTTTCCTTCATTCCCCCCAAAACCCTCCCGTCCGTGCACGCTCCCGTCCCACCCCGCCATGGACGATGACCTCGACGCCTCCGCCGGCCTCGCTGCCTCGCCTCGTCCGGCATGCCGGCCACCCCCTTCGGCAAAGGCAAGCCTCGCGCCCCCCGCAATACCGCCGCGCCCAAGCCGAAGAAGGTGCTGATGCCCGAACAACGGGCAAAGGAGTCGGCCAGGAGGAAGGACTAGAGGCACGCGGCAGACGCGAGGCCGTCGCCGCCGCCGCGCAGCAGGAGGTCACCAACACCCGCGTCGCGGTGGCAACGAGGGAGGTGCTCTATATGCTAGGGTTAAACCCTGGCCAGCACGGCCTCGTCAACGCCACCGTGGCCGCGGCTAGCACCGGCTCATCCGCCTTCCCTCGGACGGTGCTGCCCGACTCGCCCCGCGCATCGGCTTGCACCCCAGTGTCCGGATTCCACGTTTGCCCGCAGGCCTCCCACCTCTTCAGAGAGTACTCGCGCGAGGTGAATGTGGTCGTGCCTTCCACGCCCGCGCCCGCGCCCATCGACCTCAATGCCACACTGGTGGCTGGTGGCTCGTCAACCGGAGGAGCGAAGGAAACGCGCACGCAGACGCCAGCCGACGTGCTGCCGGGCGCACGCAACCTGTTCGAAGGAATGCCGGCCGCCGGCAACGGTGACTACATGCAGAACATGATCTTCGGGGCTGGTGCGCAGGCCGCTGGCTTCGATCCCGACGAGACACAAAGCCAGGATGACCGAGGGGCGTTCACGCAGTCCGCTGGCTACAATGAAGATCAGGCAGCCTTCATGCGTGATCAGGTCGGCCTGGACCTGGACGGCTTTCCTCTCGACCATGTGTTTCCGGAGGACTACGGGCTAGAGGAAGAGGACGAGTGCGACATCGAAGGGGAGCCTTTGTTCGAGGACGAGCTCGCCAACCAAGCCGCCGGGGCGAAGCCGAAGCGCAAGAGCAAGCAGACCAAGGCATACAAGGCGGCCTAGGACAAGCTTCTTTGCGAGTGTTGGATAGACATTGGGCAAGACCCCAAGACGGGCGCCGAACAAAAGCATTCAACTTTTTGGATTCGTGTCCACCGCGAGGTCCATGAGCGCAAGAAGTTTCCGCCGTACCAAATAGTAAGCGTGCGCGGGTGCGTGTCCAGTTCGAAGCGATGGAGGGTGATCCAACAAGAGTGCAACAAGTTTTGTGCCAATCTTGAGAGCGTCAAGGCCCGCCCCGTGAGCGGCATCGGCATGCAAGACATGGTATGCTAGCAAGCCGCCCTTTTTTGTGTCATCAAGTTTATGCTTGCGTGTTTGTTTGCATACCATTTTGCCAATATGCTTGCATGAAATACATTTGTAGGCATTTCAAGCTTTGGAGGCACTCAAGGTCCAACTCAATGGCAAGTGCTTCAACCTCTCCCATTGCTTTAGGGTCATCAAAGACGAGGAGAAGTTTAAGGCGCAATATGCCGCCCTCAAGTTGCATGGTGGGAAGCAAGCCGTGGAGGAGGTTGGGGACGGCGAGAAGGCTTGGCCGCGGGGGAAGACCAACTCCAAGGAGGACAAGCGAGATGCGGCACCGATCGCCTTGATCGCAACCGTGGAGGGCATATCACCAAGAAGGACTCAAGGGAGGAGAAGCGCCAGCAAGAAAGCGAAGAACAAATGAATGCCTTCATGGAGATCCAAAGGAGGGTGCTTAAGATGGACGCGGAGAAGCAAACAAGAATGCTTGATATGGAGGCGGAGAAGCAAGCCAAGATGCTAGAGATCGAGGCTACCAACGCCAAGACCAAGGCGAAAGAAGTGGCTCTCGCGAGCATGATGACCGGGGTGGAGATCATGAAGGTGGATCTCAACACCGTGTCGCCAAGGAAGAGGCCGTGGTTCGAGAAGATGCAGGCCGACATGCTCAAGTTCGACGATGAGTGATCTATGGCGGCGAGTGCCACTTTTTTTGTATGCCGGCAGGTGTGCTGGTATGACCACGGGGGCCGCGATGGCGTGGCCGAACTCAAGTCCCTTTTTTTTGTGTACTGACATGTATGTTGGCCATGCCAGCATGAACTGTGGTGATATTTTTTGAAACCGGCATTGTATGCCGGCGCTGGCATGGTGCCGGCATGAGACATAGCCGCTGGCATGATCGGCCGCGGGCCTAAGTGCGTACATGAAATGGGTCGGCGCGTTGAGCGCACTGCCGATTCAAATATAAAACAGAGCGGACGTCAGACGGACGGCCGACCAAAACGGGCAAAAAACGGACAAATCCGCCATCCGTTTGGGTCGGCCCGTTGGAGTTGCTCTTATGTTATGAAGCCAGTTGCATCATCAACAGCCATGAGCCCATGACCAGCTAGAGGCACATGATTGATCTAAAATATAGTCGAGGGGAGAGGGAGTGGTTGACTGGGACACGGAGATGTCTGCGATCCAGCGGTGAAGAATTAGCGCTAATTATAAGTGAGTAGAGAGGAGAGATAGGGAGAGGTGAACGTGGTCAGCGCTCTTGACCAATGACATACAAACTTGCAATCACTACAACACGGTAGAGCATCCGAGGCGTTCTAAAATGCCTCTAGAGCCCACCAGCAGTGCATTATGTTATGAAGCAAGTTGCATCATCAACAACCATGACCAGCTAGAGGCACATGATTGATCTAAAGAATAGTCGAGGGGGAGAGGGAGTGGTTGTCTGGGGCACGGAGATGTCTGAGATCCAGCGGTGAAGAATTAGCACTAATTATAAGTGAGTAGACAGGAGAGATAGGGAGAGCTGAACGTATTCAGCGCTCTCGACCAATGATATACAAACTTGCAATACCAGCGGCCTTGATATACAAACTTGCAATACCAGCGGCCATGCATGCGCTGCACATGGTCGACCGGCTGCTATAGATCCGTTGGCCGGTCTATAAATCAGTTGTATTTTTTTATGATAATAAGTGTCTCATTTGTATCATATAAGAATCATAGTAAAAGCCATATAAACATTGACCTGACAAAATAAAAAAAAACATTAAAACGCTAGCTTTTTCACAAAGTAACACCAGCCAAAAACAAAAATTATAATCAAGACCGAAGAATCCTCTAAGTTTGACACCAACGTCCGTCACATGCCTCTGACACCATCACAACAGCCACGAAAGAAAAAAAAATGACGGATCACCTTCTCACCCGAGCTCGATACGGCTCCATCGCTGATATGCAGTTTTGTGGACCTCCAAGGTGGCTCACCAAAGGTGAAACCATTACCGTTGAACGAATCAAACAGAGGCAACACCCCGACATTGCCATCGAA